ATGTCCTCCATAGAGGTGTAGGGAATCAAATAAGGGAATCATAATGGTATTTTTCAATGCAAAGACATAAGGTGGATACAATTTTAGGATTGTTAAGGAGATAAAACCACCATAATAGAGTGCATATTTGCTAGAAACTCCGATGAACTTAACAGAGATGAGGAGCTATATAGATCTAATCTACAATATGAGATATGTAGATTAATATATGAAAACTTAAGATTCTTAACTATCATAAGTTTTAGATATTTTCATATATAATTTCATCTTTTTAATCTTTATTAATTTTCTACCATCAGCTTATTCATTTAATCATTATTGAAAGATATATTTTTTTACTAGTAGAAGTGGTAGAAAAGTGATTATTTTTGTGACAGTCCAATTTCTCATGGGATTGAGACTTAATTCATCCTTATATTACTTGATACAACACATGCACTTGTGTAGAATTCAATTGGAAACCCTAATCTAGTATAGTGTTGGGTAGTGCCAATCAGTTAGTCACTTTACTAAATTTGAAGTGCATTATAGAAGAAGAAGAAGAAAAAGAAGCTATACTTAAGGAAATACACTTGGGTAAGTGCAATAGTCATTTAAGAGGGATGATGCTTGTCCATATAATCCTAAGGAAAATATATATTTTTTTGTTTACTTTGATGAAAGACGCAACAAACTTTTTAAGATAGTGCCTTAATGTTTGAAATTTTCTCCTATGTTGTTGTAACCCTTACATACGATGCAGCACATTAATAGCCCTTGGCCTTTCACCATTTGGGGAAGATATTGGTTGTGACTATTTCCATCTTCTACCAAGTAAAAATAAAATATTTTATCGTGGATAACTATTTTACCAAGTAGATATAAGCCAAATTGCTAACCAAAACCTCCGCTTCCATGTTAAGAAACTTCATCGAGGCTTGTATAATCTATGGATATGGCATTCTTCTAACTATCATCACCAATAATGGGCCATAATTAATTAATAAGAGTTTTATGGTTCTATAACTTGTAAGGATTCAGCCCAAAGTTCATCTTGCGTCATCACCCATAAACTATTGGCCTAGTCAAAGCTACCAACTAGCTAATACTAAATCTCCTAAAGAATAAGGTAGAATGCACCAAGCCATGTGGTAGAAGTCTTTCCCTCAATCGTGTGAACTCTAAGGATGGCCCCTTCATCAATAATCAAACACACACCATATTTTCTTTCACACAACATCTAAGAAGTACTTCCTGATAAGCTCAGCCTTCATAGCCAGTGTAGGGTCACTACTACTAGTCATAAAGAAAGTAAACTTGGTTAATAGAATGTGATCAATTAGGAGGACCTATGCACGATTAAAAACTTTTTGGAGGAGCTCAGAATAAAATCCACCCTTAGCTAAGAAGAAGCCAAAAGAAGAATGGATAATTAATATAAACCCCACCTTATATAGAAGACCTTTCAATATGTCAACCTAGTTCTAAAGTAGATAGGTGCTACAATTTAGTTATTAGAACTTGACAAGCTTGTGGAGCCTATCATCTACATATTCATATAGTGAAAGAATTTATAATGATTTGGAGCATTATAATCCTCAAGATTTTCTATCCGTGAAGGGAAGTCTTCGTAATGATATTCACAATATTATGTGTTCTTTTGCCTATTTTATTTAAAGATGCAATTAAATTTTCTTTACTCTTTTACTTCTATAATTTTCTATATAAGTTGATCCTTCAAAAGTGAGCTTTTTTAAATAATAGAATATTATTAACAAATTCATGGGGAACTCAATCAAAATTTTAAAAAAAAAACTCTCATGAAAAACACACTTCTTTGATGGTTACAATGAAAACTTCTTGCCCATATAAGTTAGTCACTCAGATACTTAGGGAACTTGCATCATTGAGGATACACACATAAGAAACTCTATCTAGATGAGCTCTTAGTAATATATAGGGCAATAGCTCATTAATCCCAATATAAATGATTCCATTATAGCCATCTATGACCAACTTTAGTGATTACTAGCCATGTCCCTTACATAGGTTGAAATTAGAAAGTGAGACAAACTGCTTATAAGAGAGCTGAGGTCCCAATACACAAAGAACTATAGGAGAGCCAAACCCCCTTGGTGAAGGAAAGTTATCACCTAAGGTTAGGTCTTTTCCATATTTTGGGTCATGTTATGCTTGGGAGTATTAAGATTTTATTAAGAATGTTTGCAATATAAATAAAAGTAAATAAAAAACATGAATAAAAAGTAAAAAATCCTAGAATTCTTTTGTATTTCATTTTTGAAAAATGCATGTACAATCATGCTTAGGTCATATATAAATACCTTAAAAACTATGAAATACAAGAAATATAATCACCAAGTGAACAAGCATCACTCAGTAACTAACTCACCTTCTTAAATTATTTTCCACCTCTCAAGTAAGTTGCATGAGAAATCTGATTAAAGGATCAAATGAAGAAAGAAACTCTTCCTTAAGGAAGGACTTGACCAACAATACCTAGGATGAGGACTTTCTTGGAGATTAAGAACAGACCCATTATGCTTTATGTTCAGCACCAGATTATTACTAGGTGGCATCTCTGCCAAAAAGGAGAGAAATTTAGCTTTTGATGAGAAAAATGCAATATGAAGTTGAAGCAAGGTTGGAAAGGATCGGGTGAATCGCCATGCCACTTTTTACTGCTTACTCACCATATGACTCGATAATTCAACCCTCATGATAGGTTTTTTTTCTTTTTAAAAATATAAATTTTAATCTTTTGTACTTTTTTTCTTTTTCACTCTCTTACAATAGGATGAAGCCCATGAGGATCTGGAGTACTTGGCCCTCTCCCATTTATATAGAGTTGAGTTCACTTTGGCCATAGACTTATAAACTCTATAAGTACATAATAAGTACTCACTTAAATATTAGAATTTATAGGATGGAATTGGCAAACTTCTATTAACACCAGCTCCAATTTGTTAGAGAGCCCAGAGATTTTTCTCCATCACCATCATTAATATATATCAGATGTATCCACTAAAGCAAGTAAGCATGATTACTAAGACCATAATGACATTGATAGGGAATGCTTATCCTTTCACCTAATGCCCATCGATACTTTTTTAATTCCTATCATGTTATTTTACTCTCCTATACTCAAGGTACTCACATATATAAGATGGACCCCCATGGGGAAATCATAAAGTAATTCACACTAAAATTTCACTTATAGTTCCTTAGATACCAGTCTCTAAAATGAAACACCATCAACAGCCACATCAAACTTCCTAGCAGCTACAGGCTGACTCCTCATTCCAATAGGACTTATATTGAGTAACATGCATGATACATATAGATGGTGAGTCTCAGTGCCATGTCACTAAAGGTGATGATGGAGATATGATATGACCAGCCTTATAATTTAACTCCCCCCTTCATGATTTGATTTATGTTGAGTAGTATGTGAATCCCATTTAGTTGAAGATCCTAGGTTAGTTGAAGATCCTAGGTGATTTCCCCTTTTTTTTTTTTTTTTTTTGATGAATGCTAAAATTGCATAGAAAGAGAAAACGAAACCAAGATACAAGCTACTAAGAGTGAAGAACACTATCACATTCTTCCTTTATTAAACTACAAAAGGAAGAAGGAAGTTCACTCTCACAAAACAAATCCCAAAGAAAATCAAAAGAAAAAGCTAAGTTAGCACAATAATCCGCTAACCTATTACAATTGCGATTAACCCAATGAAAAATCACACTATTGACCTTGCTAAGAAAAGAAGAATCTTCAGTACCCATGCTCCTATCAATATTCTTCAGTATACTGTGCAATTAGTGAAGAATATCAATAACATTCTTATTGTCACCTTCCACTATAATGCCTCCAACATCATCGAATCTTCCTTGTAAAATCTCTGTAAGAGCTGAAAAAGCGAAAAACTCCAATTGGGCAATGTCCCAATGCGTTTTCCCCAATCCAAAAGCTAAAAGAAAACTTCCTTTACAATCCCTAACAATGCCACCAACACCAGCCTCATAATTTCCTTTAAGAGAAGCATCAAGATTAATCTTAATCCAATCGGGGGAGGAGGTTGCCATTTATCAAAAGACAGTTTTGGGGACTGATTAACAACCCAGTTATCCGATTAAACAAAGTGCAGATTATCTTGGTTGATAAAGCTGAGAACTGAAATAGCAATAAACACATTGCTTTCCTCAGGATTCCCATGCTTAAGTAATCATTCCAAACAAACCAAATAATAACCTACAAACAAACCAAATAAGAGTAAAATACAACTTCACCATCATCACATTATCGTCTTTGAGCCTCTGTAATCCAGCCAAGCAATCATTCCATCAATTGAATTCTGGTACTTGTAATCCCCAGCCTCTCAGCACATCCATCACCTTTCGAAGCTTGCAGCTGTTGGAAGAAATGTTATTAATATCTTCCAAAACTTCACATCCCAACAGACAAAGAGGATCATCAGACAGTCTTCTTCTGAAGAGGAAAGCACCTGTGGGGAGAGCATCAGAGAACAACCGCCAAATGAAAACCTCCAACCTTGCATTCAAACCCAATTTATAAACCCAATTGATTGGAACAACATCCTCCATATCTTTATAGCTATCTTCCATAATTAAAGCAGAGATAGACTTCCCTGACATCTTATATTTTAATTCCATGCCATCCTCATTCATATTGGGAAGAATTTGGACTTTGCAAATAAGCTCCAGTAATTTTTTTCCAAAGAACACATTGAGCTTCTCACGATCCCAACTAACTTCAGCAATGAAAGAATCCAGAGTAATATTGTCATCCTTAAAATAACCTACAAATGTTGGCCATTTGAGTAAAGACTTATCCAAAATCAAAATGTCCTTCAACACTTCAATTTTGGAACCATCACCAATTCGCCATCTAACATGATTCCTGAGCGCACTCCAACCAGAAACCATGATCTTCCAAGTAGAGGAACTACTCCTATGTAGTCCATAATTCCACCAATTACCTCCTTACTTAGCAGTGAGGTGTTTACTCAGAAGAGAATCTGGCTTATCAATCATCTTCCATGCAAATTTGGCTCTCATAGTATTCCTCCTCGCTACAGCTGAATTAACATCCCATCCTCCAAACTTTTTTGGCTTACAGATTTGCTCCCAAGCCACATAATGAATGCCCCTCTTTCCATCACATTTATTCCAGATAAAACCTCTACAAATCTTCTCAAATTCCATCAACATCTTCATCGGAATAAGAGAGTGAGACATGATAAAAATTGGAAGAGAAAGATAAACTGATTTAACCAAAACCAGTCTGCCGGCCAAAGAAACTTATCTATTCCCCCAAGCATTAAATTTTTTTACTGGATTTATCCAATAAAACCTGAAAGTCCTCCTTAAACGTCTCAATGCCAATTTGATACCCAAATACTCAAACTCATCAACTAATCTAATTCCCATAAATTTGGAAATCTGCATCCTCCTCCTCCTATCCATCAAACTACCACAAACCAAGGTAGATTTATGGTAGTTGATACTCTGACCTGTCCACTTGCAATAATTCTTCATAATCTCTCTAACCTTCTTCATACCATTCACTTTAGCTTCCATAAACAGCAAAATTTCATCTACAAATAAAAGATGAGAAATCTTCTGGGAATTAGAAGAGATACTAATACCCACATTAGTGCCCTGCTATGGAAGGCTTTAGAAAGAAGCTGGGAACAAAGGATAAAAAGAAATGTTGATAAAGGGTGTCCTTAATGAAAGCCACTCTTCCCCTCGATCCACTTAGAATTAGAACCATTAATCATAATAGAATATCTTGGGTCCATGATACATTCCATCACCAAATGAATAAACCTGGTAGGGAACCCCAACTCTGTCATCATCTTCTCCAAAGTTGCCCAGCACATGCTATCATATGCTTCCTTCATGTCCACTTTGATTGCTAAGAACCCATTAAAATCTTTAGAAAATCTAACTTTGTTAAAAACTTCCTGAGCCAAAAGAAGATGGTCTGAGATTGATCTGCCCCTCCCAAAAGCCTCGTGTTCTTCAGAAATAATCCTAGGAATAACTCCCAACATTCTGTTAAACAAAACCTTAGCAACAATTTTATAAATTGAATTGCAAAGCCTAATGGGATGGTAAGCTAATGGAATACTGTGATTAGAAGTTTTAGGAATCAGCACAACTAAGGTATCTTTTCAATCCTTGCACATAGAACCAGTGAGAAAAAACTATTGCACAGCTCTAATTACATCCTCTTTAATGATGTTCCAAAAAGCTTTGAAAAAGGAATAGGTGATTCCATCAAAGCCCAGAGCTTTGTTGCTGCCCAGATTCAGGATAACATCTTTAACCTCTGCTTCGGCCAGATCACTGTTTAACAAAGTCTTATCACTGTCTTGTCGAATTAACCACGGCTCAGGCCACCCAGCAAAGGAATAGTTTCTGGATTTCCACTTGTTCTGAAAAAAATTGTAAAACACCTCCTCAACCACTTTCAGATCATCAGACAGAACCCCATTAGAATCCTTAATTTGAGAAATACAATTGACATTTCTCCAAGAATTGGCAAAGGAATGGAAGAATTTGGTATTTGCATCTCCATCCTTAATCCACTTAGCTTTTACCCTTTGCTTCCACCAGGTATTCAGATTATGAAGAATAAGATTAAGTTCTTTGACTTTAGCTTTAAGAACCCAAAGCTTCTCCTCAGTCAACCAGCCGTCCCTCGCTTCTTCTTCTTGCAATTCCAGAATTTCATCTTTCAACTTGTCTTTCTCCAATGAGAAATTCTTCAATATAGCCTTGCTCCAATAAAACAAATCTTTCAAAGTTCTTTTACATTTTTTATTAAGAACTTCCATATCATACCCCAAAAAGGGTCTCCTCCACCTGCTCGAGACAATATGCTCAGCAGTCTTAAAGGTTAACCAAGTGTCTTCAAACTTAATACCACTTCTACCTTTACAAGCCGACTCAAACATCTTTAATACAATCGGACTATGGTCCGAAGCAACTCTGGCAAGGTGTCTAACCAAAGTAATTTGGATTTTGTTGATGGCCAAGGTATTAAGAAGACACCTATCAAGTCTTTCCAGAATCCGTCCACTTCCACTCTTATTGTTGCACCAAGTGAACCTAGGACCAATAAACCCAACTTCATGATAGCCATTCTCATTCATAAACTTCACCATATCCAAAGGGCCTTGAGTGAATTTAAACCTTCTACCACCCTTCTTGTCTTCTTGAGCCAAAATGCAATTGAAGTCCCCTCTAATAATAGAAGGACTATCTCTATGGGAAACCTCCTGAACATACTCCCAAAGAAACCTTCTCTTAAGAACCTCTTTACTAGCATAAACAGTTGAAATCATCCAAACTCCTCTATTGAAGACATTGAGATCACCAATAATACATTGATCTGAAGTATGTAAAACAGAAAGGAAGCCAAATTCGATCACCATATAACCATAATTCCACCTAAAAGCCCTTCTGAGGGAATAAGAAAATAATCCCAACCAAGCCCCATCATCCTTACAAACGAATCTCTATCCATAAAAGTGATTTTAGTTTCAATCAACCCTACAAAGAACACTTTGTAGTCTTTAATAATTTCCTTCAAATAAAGAGAGGCCCCCTCTTTTTGGCCCCCCTACAGTTCCAAAAAATAATTGATTCCATTAAAAAAGTCTGGGGGAGGAGCCCCCAACTCTTTTCTTCATACCTCCATCCATAACTCTACCTCTAGAACTTCTTTTAATAGGGCCCAAAGCTCTAAGCTCTTTAGCAAGCTTACATTTCACCAATTCTCCATTAGAAATAATCTCCTTCTCAATTCTCACAACACTTTATTCCCCTCATAGCCTTTAATAAGTACATCACCATCTGGATTCCTAGTTGTAGGAGGAACCACTTCTCTGTTATAATTATCACAACCACCAGCAGTGAATTTAATGTAAACATCTTCAATTCCATCATCTTCCACCCCATCCAAAACATCAAATTTATTCAAATTGACTGGAATAAAAGGGGTACCATCACCAGAAAACTTACGTCAATATCTGAAGGAGCTTTAGTAGAATCAATAAACTTCATAGTAGAATTATTCTTACTGACAGAGTCCCTTCCAGAAGCAATCGCCTCCTCTTCTCTGGGTATCTCCCCTTCCTCCAATTGATTAACTACAGCAATAGTTTCCACCTTATCAAGAGCATCAACACTTTGAGTTTCATTCCCAGCCATATCAATATGAATTCCATTCATTTTCATCCACTATTTTTTAACAGCTTTCGGTTTATCCTTCTGCACAATAAGTCTTCTATTAATTTTCTTTTTCACCATGATCCAAGGACCATAAGAGGGATCAGTAACCTCTTCATGAACCTTTTCTAACTCCTTAGCTTCCCTTGACTCGCCTTCATTCATATCCCTGCCAGAGGTTCCAGCAACCTTCATTTTGCAATCAGCTTTAAGATGCCCCTGTTGAGTCTAGTGAATAGGTTGTTAGACCTAAGTTAATGTCCCAAGGCTACCAAGAGGGTGGGGGGGTGAATTGGTATTTAAAAACTAATCGTCTTCGAAGTTTTGTTGAACTAATTGAAATTTTTTTAAAGAATTTTTTATAGAAAAAGTTTTTCAACCACAGAGTTTTCAAACAAAA